ACACACACACACACACACACACACACACACACACACACACACACACAGGGCGCTGTCACATGTCTCAGTCAACACACTTTGAATTTTCCAGCAGCATATGCTTCATCCAGGGTAACCTCATTGACTTTAGGCACAACAAAGATGGCATTGTTTTTATGTGCATTTAAAGACAGTCAAGCACTGTGGTTTGCTAACTTGATAAGGGAACTGCAAACATGCTGTATCTTGGAGGGTGTGGCGGATAACATTTTGAATCATTGAAAAATGTGCATGAATTGATATTTGTGGCCGCTTGGGGGCAGTGTAAAGAGTTATTTACACATCCAAAAGACCCAGAGCAGCATTAGTATTCATTTGGAGTCTCTTTCAGCGTGGTTACAAGGGTTTTTAGATTTTTTTTTGCAGAAAATAGCTGCCCGCTGTGGCTGGAAACAACACTGATTAGCCATTGATCCAAAATGATCAGATGAAAGACACTGACACACTCTGTAGAGCTGAGGGGAACTAGCCGGGTAATAGATCTCCTTTTACATTACGCAAAGCCTTTTGATCCATTTGCAAAGTGATTGAATTTAATTGGCCATAAATTGTATCAAAGGGGAGTTTTATAGTAAAAATCTTAAAGGAGGCACTGATTTGTTACTGAGATTTATTACAGCTCTTCCATAAACTTGGTGGAAAAAGACAGATTTAAACAAAACGGCTGGATATTTTCCAATAATGCAACTTGAGAGAATCTCTTTGTTAGACCCTTCCTGCCTGGTAAACACCCACGTCTTACACACTACAAGTTTTCCGTTACAAATTTGTTCTTCAAGCGGAAGCTCAGATACACCTGATGACATTCAGGAACCGTGACAATTTAATCCTCAAATTCATGCCAACTACTATTTATTACAGCACAGAATAAATAGATAAAAGTTAAAAATGTCTTTTTTTTTAGTGGTATCTTTTTAACAGACGATAAATAGGCCTTGATAACAACCAAATCAAACATGAACAAAGTACTGATTCTGATCTCTTACCTGGTTCTCTTTAGCGGAGGACTCCATGAAGGCAGCGTTCCAGGATTCGGCTAATGCTTTTCCTTCTTCACAACTGATTACTCTTCAGAAAAAAAAAGAAAACACAGGATGAAACATCAATAATTCAGAGTAAGGCTGCAGAGTTAAACCCAGTTCAAGTCTGCTTCCACTGAGTACGGTACATTTGCAGGGCTACACAAACGCACACAGACAAGTGGAACTGTGCTGGCCTGGCACAAATGGCTTCCCCCTTCTTTTGGATCATCTGTGAACCAAATATGATCTGCTCTGTGTTTCCGTTTGTGTGTCAGATGTCAGCAATGTTGAGTTTTGCATTTCTGCCCTTTCAAATGACGACTGTGTCCACGGTGGACCTAATGTACAATTAAGGTGTGCGTTAGGACATACCGCTCCATGTGTAGGTCGTTCTTGTTTCCGACAAGCATAATTGGAACTCTGCATTAGTGGGAAAAGCAAAACGGCACGTTGTCATTTATGGATGATACATCACTTACTTCTTGGATGGCCTTGGCCGGCAAAAGAAGAAGAAGAAGAAGCAGTACTTACTGAACTTTTCCCACCATGTCCAATAGTTTTTCATGGATAACTTGTACAACTTCAAAGCTGGAACAAACGAGGGGAAAGTTTCTTCTTCGGCATTTCAATGCAGTTTCAACTCATTATACAGAACGTCATAGCGATTTGTTGGCTCTTAAAAAGTGGAAGTACAATTATACCTTTTATTGGATGTAACGGAATAGACCAGAATGTAGCCGTTGATATCTATGGAGTAGGTCTGTGGGAAGATGGAGTACTCATCCTATAGAGCAAGAAATTGTGAAGAAATTAGTATGCAAGGTTACAGGTTTGGAAGAGAAGAAATTAAAAGTAATTCTGACTAATTAAAGGGGAATGCCACCGAAATTAAGAATTCAATTATGTTATTTCTGTGGAGTAGGAAAGGTCAGAGAATATTTGTGAACACGAGCTACTCTCTTACAAGTCGTGTCGAGATGTTAATCCACCATTTGCGAAACTCTCGAAAGATAGTTGAGGTTAGGCATTGAGCTTGAAGGGTTTCGGTTAGGATAGGTCGTCGGGGGAGCGAGTCTCGCAAGAGTTTTTGTAATTTGTCGGTTAACATCGAGACACGAACGTCTCAAAACCAGAAGCCAGAGAGTCTCAAACTGTCATCAAGTATAAAGTCTGGAGCTGCTCCATTGGGAGTTTAAGCACTCTAGCTTTTGGATTTGGGAGAGACATGTTCATGTTGACAAATGTTTTTTTGGCTGTCTTCGACAATAGGAATAACATGTATGAATTTTGAAAATGGGCGTAGTTTCCCTTTAATAATGCAGAATTTACACCCAACTAGGACATAACACAATCATAACACATATTCAAATATAAAGCAATCAGCATACCTGTCCTGCTGTGTCTACCAGCTGAAGATGGTACTCTTGTCCATTTATTGTGATCATTTTAGTAAATGCTACGGTTAAAAGAAAAGACAAATTAGATATAATAGAAAGTAGAAATGAAACATTTTAATGGATGGAATGGAGGGCAAAGATTTCCTAAGATGACAAATAGGGAAAATACAACAGCATCTCCACTATACAGTACTGTGCTGCATCTTCATTACTCTACATTTTTTAGAGTGCAGATCTCTTTACGGATCCATTTTGGTACCACTCAGTTCATCCGGCACAAGAATGTCAATATCTGCCTGGAGATGGGTCACATTATCTACAGGACTTGAGGGATTGCACTGCCCGCAGCATCTCGCTGACACTCCACTTTATGCTAACCACCCAGAGATTATTTATAGACACGGAGCACACACTCGAGAAACGCAGGGCTATATGAGAGCGAACATGTCGGGGAAAGAGAAAAACAGCCTACAGGTAAAGTTTAGACTCAAATCTCTGGAGTGTCTGGGAATGTGTGTTTAGGAGGTTGATGAATTGCAACATGTTCATCTCATTTGGCAAAATGTACCTTTAAAGCACATTCGAGCAAAGTTCACTCTCTAAACCAGGGATTTTCAAGCTTTTTCCACTTAAGTCAACCATGTTTAGCTTTGACCAAACACGACACCGGCTGACTTCTCCACAGTGCCTCAAAAGGAAGTTTTCTTCTTCTGGTGGAAACTGGTGAAATCAGCCGGTGTAGTGTTTGGACACATTGGCTGAGAGGAAACACCACGCCCTGCTGGGTAACTCTTCTCTGTTATTGTTCTTCTTCTTTCAGTAACATCATGTCACATAGTTATCATGATGCCCAGTTGAGATGTCCACACTGATGATAACTAGCAAACTTTACATTAAAAAAAAAAGTGTCTCACATATTTGCATAAAAAAGAGAAGCGTATTCAAGTGTCAGGATATTTGTCAGGGGTGGGCCACTTTGCCTGAGGACCACATCTGCTAATGTCATAAAAACTACATACACGTCTATGAAATACAACATGAGGGTCAAAAAGAGCAGAGGGACTGCTAAATGCAGTAAAAGCTTGTGTATTCAAGTGTGGCTATTGCTCAGACTGTCATCTACTCGCCACTTACTGTTTTCTATTGTCGGGTCATAGGAGTCCACAAACTGGCCCTCCACAAACTGAATTGTCAAGGAGGACTTTCCTGCAAAACACAAAGGAATGTTGTAAACAGGGAAACTTTACATGTTGGAATATCATTGTTAATGTGGAAATCAATAGTTAAAATCTTAAAAGCTTCAAAATATTGGTTTGCAGTCCCTCACAACTAGTGTGCATCAACCAAGGACTGTGACTGAAGCTTAAAGATGACAAAATGATTTATGACTGAAAACCACAATATAAAAAATAAATAAAATCATCATCAGAACATCAGTGAAATCTAAAATGACCTACCAAAGCCTACAAAATAAGCAACACAAACATATATATATTAGTACAATGGGATTAATATGCAGCCATAAACACAATCCAAGTCTCTGTGGGAATATTACAGAGTTTGGCGTTAGTGCTGGTATGCTGGCTGGGCCTAAAGTCGTCTGCGTGTGCCATCTTGCCATCATGCACATCCTTTACGCCGCATCCGAATTGCGCTCCTTTGGTTTCAGATGGTATGAAATGAACGCACAGCAATGCGTCAAATCCTTCAGGCCTTTCACAAAGCATGGCACTCACTAACCAGAGTTAGGGTCACTGATGGAAACGTATCAATAAGGACAGTCAGAGTAAAATAAATAAATAAATAAATAGATCTATATGTATGTTGAACACATAACGGGAGGCCTCATGTGATAAAACCCCGCAAGGCCACGTCTCACCTGGTGGCGCTCCATCCTCCGCTGTGAGATGATGCACGGCTGATCCTCCCTATAATTTAAGTCTAATAGGCTACGGGAGGCGTAAACGGCTCGGATGATGGACTTAAATTCACACAAAAGGCCGCTGAAATTGAGCCTCAGCGTCTTATCCGAGGCCATTAAGGTGCCATCCTCCCCCCGCTACCCCAACAGCTCTTCCCTGTGCGTCGTCGGGTCGGGACTCACCTACGGATCTGTAGCCGAGGATGGCGATTTTTCGTGATTTCGGCTGCGGCATATCTCGTCCTGGTTATCGCATCTAGTCCTCGGGGTGTACCGCAACCTCCAACCGGAATGGCATCCAAATTCAAGGCGTGGAGAGATTAGACATACAGCCAGATGACAGCAGGAGTCCCTCTTCTTTACTCTTCTTCTTCTTTCTTTTTTAAAGATGATCTTTACGTCCACGGCCTGGAAAATAACGTTATTTCAGGTCATACATTTAAAAAAGCATGGAGTATCTATCGGTCCTCAATAACTGCGTCACTCCCCTTTGCGATGTAATGAATTAGTAATTGATGCTGCGTCCTAATTGGCTGCACGCGGGGCGAAGGAGGGCACCGACGCCTGTTGTAAAACTCTGATTGGATCAGACGGCTGTTCGTCAATCGGTCCTGCCCACTTTCTGGAATGTGATTGGCTGCTACACGCGCTGTGACGTACCAGCTGGTCGAGTGCAATGTCATTCATTTCTGTCAGGCCAAGGAGCAGGGCTACTGGCATTACTGCTCCAATTAAGACGTCGTTGTTTGTATGTTTTATTTATTTATTACACGGACACACTGTGGTAATTCTGTAATGACCCTTAGAGATACAAAATAAGTCACTACAAATATATACTTCACCATACAGCTCCCATAGTGGATAAATAGTAGTCATATCACCCTGAATGACCCTAAAATAAGATCAGAGTAATTATTTAGTATCAACGACACGTCATCATTTCCCATAGACATATTGTATTCAGTGGTGGAAAGTGACCAAGTACGTTTACTGCAATACTTTGAGGGACTTGACGTGAGTATTTTCAGTTTCTGCTACTTCCACTTGGTGTATTTGATGACTGCAGTTACCGAGCAGTCCTGTCTGTTTTGTCATCCCCAGGATGTGGCATCTGGCTTGAACCAGCTAGGGGAAATGGAAGGAACACAATCACACTGCAGGGCTTCAGTTAAAAAGTGAGATGATACTGTTTTTCTTATTGTTTAAATCTGTGTAGTGAGCTTTAGACCTTGGAGTACCTTTTACAAATCTATTTGTGTGTAAGGTCAGTAAAGTACATTTTTGCTACTTTATTTCTATTGACAAGAAGACAATGCCATTTCTCCAACAGACTTGCAGGTTAATGATAGATAGATACACCCTTCACCAGCAGTACTTCTGAAAACGTTCCTTTACTTTTCTCTTCATTTCAGGTCTTGGAAGTGGAACTGATTGTACTTTGTTGTCTAGTCCAGCCTTAGAAAACAGAAGACACACACAATTAGAACTTAAAAAATGGCAATGTCTAATTTCATCATCATCATAAAATCATTGGAATATGAGGCTGATAATAAAGTTAAAAAAATTGACCAAGTGTCAAATTTTCAGTGTATTTATTATTATTTTTCCATTATCAGCCCTCTTGAGATTGAACAACACTAGTAGGTTTCCTGAATAAGAGCTCATAGAGAGGTTGTCAGTACACTTTCTAAAATTGTGGCGTATTCTTAAAGGCTGTCGTATTGTGAAGTAATTTAAATTGTTACTTATTACATTAATCAAAGAGTGCTGGAAGATGAAATGTAACTCACAAGTCGTCACAGTGCAGCAGCAGTGACCACAAAGTCTTCACTGACCAGGAATCCTCCACATACATGCCCCCCCCCCCCTTGTTCTGCATCGAAGCCATGCAGCATCTGCTTCTCCTGGGGTTTTTCCCAAAGTATGATTTCACTCCCATCTGCTAAGATAAGTACAAATCTAAATGAAGTTAATTCCCCATTAAATGGCTGGTGAATAACAATCAGATTTGGTCGTACCGTTCCTTCAGTGACATGACTCGTGTTGGAAGTAAGTAGTAACAAAATAATGTTATGATGAGACAACTAGAGGTACAATAAGGACAATATGATCTCATAGCACAGAACCAGTACACAGAACTCATTTTTTGGGAATTCTACCAGAGGATTGGAATAAAGCTCTTCTTCGCCTACTCTCACGTTAGCCAGTAGATGTCCCCATAACACCATTTATCCCTCCTGCAGGAACCACTTACACCGCCAGAGGACTGTGTGTACATGCTCAAACTATTATATATTTCAACAGAAACAGCACCGTATCATTATTGTTTATTTCCATCCATCTCTTGTGTTTGGTTCAAACTGACTAAGCACTATTCCAAACAGTGTAACACTGTACCTCAACAACCTCACACATAAATCAGACGACACACACCCCTGATTATCTGAGCTGATAGTGTATTGCGTTATCGATGTTAAAATACCCACGTCTTAATATAACTGTGGCCTTAAACCCAACCACAGGCATGGAACAATACCATAGGCCTCAATTAGTGGGTAAAGCACAGACTCGAGGAATTCGAGGCAGGCGTGGCGAAGGTGGTGAGATGATGAGAGCCCTCTTTGCTTTTAAAATCGACTGTTTCTTATGTGTGTCAATCACTTGTTAGTAATGCACAAACACCAACGATGAACCCCGTAAAACTGAATTTTTTTTACTGAAATTCTATAGTTTTTTTCCACACATCTTAAATGCCAATTCAGAGAGTTTTGAAGCAAAACTCTTGAAGTAATTATACACACTCTCAGAAATAGCCCATAGACCCAAGGGTGTGCAGTCACGTCCTGGGCTATTACTACTTAATCACAGAAATGTCCAACTCCCCCGTCTGTAAGACCCAAACTGTTTTGCCTCCACACACACTTCTCAGCAATGGAGACAAGAAATCACTGGTGTCAGCAATAGGCGATTTGTTCTGCATGACATTGGGTGTCAAAAACAAAACCCTGAAAATGGCTGAAGGGTGCCTGCAATCACTGGACACACACATACACACTCATGCACATGAACTGCTGTCACTTTCTCTGCTTCTCCCTCTTCCAATCTCTCTCCCTCTTTCTCACGCACGCACACACACACACACACACGCTCTCAGGAAATTATGATGACCAAGAATAGGTCACACTGGTAATACAGCCATGTTCTAGCCAGAGATTAGAGTGTGCTGACAAAGGCCAACAATAAATACCCCCTGCTAGAACAACAGGTGTCTGACAAGATTGTTTTACTTTAATAGAAGGCTTACTCAAGCCTCAGAGAAATAATATATTAAGCTCTTTTAGACATGTTGGCCTTTCGCAGCTTCATCTCTTGTGATTGGAAAATTAATTTTTTCACCCCAACAATTAATTCCACAGAATCTCGCGTGCATCGGGATGGAGAAGTGATTAAGACGCTTGATCGTGAATGTCATGAGATCACTATTTTTTTGCAACGCACCGTGTTGCAGGTTAAAGAATTCACTTTAGATTTGCAGCCTCAAATTTTCTTGAGCTATGCGAGCCAGTAGACATGCAGCTGGAGCTCGTGTTTCTGAACCCTGGGTGTGTGGCACCGGCGCCAGCCTCTTTCAACTCGCTGTGAAAGCACCCCTGGCTCTGTTAGTATGCCAGCCTGAGCGCCAGCGGAGCGAGTCAGCCACATCCTCCAGCTGGGTCTGTGCCACCAACGGGCACCTGGACCCACTCGCAAACCTCATGAAACCCAATGCATATTTAACCCGGAGGAACGCGTTCGTGTGGCATCTTAAACCAGAGAGGCTGCATGTCTGCATGATACCTGGAGGACACCCGTTGCACCTTTATTTCACCCATTTTCGAGACTTTTATCAGCCTACTGGGTGCAACGCAGCCTTTTTTAACTGGCAGATTCACAGTTCAGGCTGTGCCTCAGCTGTTGGACCGAGTCCAGAGTCACACAGGCCTAAAAGACAGCCATCGTTATCCAACTCTCACAAGGTGTCATTGTAGGGATCCAATGATTACCATATCAACACCACATGAAATATTAATGTCTTGCTGGCAGTGATGGCCTGGCAAGCATCCTAATTTCTAGAACAGAGCTTGTCAGATCCTATTGTTTCAAGTTTGGGTGACATGAGTGGAAAAGTCATCAGTGATTGAACTCGTGATGAGACCGGGCTGTCAAATGTGGTCCAAATAAAAACTGCAATATGGGTTCCTCCAACACACCTGACACACCACTAAAGCCCAGTGCATGTAGACAATACACTTGCATTATTCTCACTCACTTCAACATATGGGCAGCAATTCAGTGGGCTGGAATCAGGCTACTTCAAGGATGGCTTTTTGAAGTAATAATTGTGTTCGTGCCAAGTCAGTCCCAGACTCCATTTGCTGGCCGTGCATCACATAAGCAGTCAAGCCACACAGTGTACTATCTGTGGACCGTGGCTGTTTGGACTTTGGGACCTTGTCACAAAAATGATAAAGTATAAAGGCTGATGACCTCAGCCATGTCAAATGAGCAACACCATCCGTTAAATGTGTTTGAAACACAACGACAAAGAAATAAAGAAAGGCAGTCCAAAATGTTGAACACAACCTGTTTCAGCTTCTCTCCTCCGGTAGGTGCTACAGAGCACTGTACACCAAAACAGCTAGACGCAAGAACAGGCTGTCACGTACAACACTTAACATTAGTCGGGTGAGGAAAAATCTGTATATTATATATTTTATAGTTTAAATACAGTTTTTCAACATGTAAATATCATCACTGTCAATACACAATATATGTATGTACTTTCATATACTTTAGCAACCTGGGACATTAATCGTTCCATCTTTATACCAGCACCCTTTGTATTCTGCAAAATTGCACTATTGTCTTACTGTTTTCATTTTTCATTGTGTTGTTTACCGTGTTTAGCTTATAAACATGAAGAAAACCACAAAAATATCCTTTCATAATTTACATACACATACTTGGCCAATAAAACAGATTCTGATTCTGATTGGATGCACTCATAAAAGCTAGGAAGTGGCTTTTCATTTTTTTCATTGTTACTATTTCCAAGTTCAAAAACAAACTGAATTATATTTCTTATCTGTCGTTGTGCATTTCATTGTTTTATATTGTTTTGATTCATCCAACTTAACTTCCTGTGTTTTAAAGTATATTTCCTGGTGATGGTTGGAGGTGCACTGGTGAGGCTACTACTTGAGGTTTCACTGAGATTCTATTTTCCATTGGCGGTCTGAGGGGAACGGCCACATGGTGGCTGCAGCCCAGGCCCACACGCAGTAGATGCCTCGAGAATTAGCTGACATCAGGCTCTGTATCTGATGCAGCTTTGGAGGAGGAGTTCATTACTGCCACCCTCAGGTCTCTGTATGAGCTTTCTGGGAGTGACGAGGTCAGAGCCTGACCAAATAAATCAATGGACCTTATTGCCACCCCAAAGCATTGACAGGTTATCTCGTCATAATTACTGTATAACTGCGCCCGAGTGTACGACTGTTTTCGCTTCACGCTCAGTGGCCTGTAGGACAAGCAGTGAGCTGGTGAGACCCAGATAGGCCGCTCGGTGGTACTTCATCACCCCCGTTTGTTGTTGTCACTGCTACAATTGGTTTGTACACCCCATCTGCTGCATCAGCAAAGTCGGGACTGATTTGGTCACTTTGGAGCCCAGTTAGCTTTGCTCACTTGCACTTCCCGGTTGATTCCAGCCCATCATTACAAATGGTATCTTTATGCGGCGGAGTTAACCCGGATAGCGCTCTCCCCCTGGGCTCCTTTATTATCTATTCGTCATGTTGTCCCAGTTTATCTCAAGATGAATCTGGCTGCTTCGCTACAGATCTAACTACAGATACCTGGCGTGTGGCCTGGGGAGAGAGATTAGGAGATTACTAGATACTCAGCGGAGGTGCTTGAGTTAGAGTTGATACGGAGGTGAAAAATATTCCAAGAAGATGCAGAATGGCTACGAATCTGTGTTTGTGCTCTCTTAGCACCGATTTGTCTTCACAGTGGGCTTGAATATATTAAAACTGCCTTGATAAATAGTCATTACCACAGGGACAATTTGCACAAACAGCCAGGGGCAACCGCCGTGTGTCCAAACTGGTAAATAAATGAACATTTAAAACATTGCAATGAAATGTTGTTGGCCTCGTGTTCAGCCTCCAAGCTGACTTGTTGGACACTCCTTCAAATTTTCCTCCCCACTAATTTGCATTGCTAACTAGATCCTTTGTGTCACCTGGAGATCTGGGCAGAGCACATTTGCAGCCAATTTCCAGATGGCAATTCAAATGTGTGACATGTCCTCAATTTTTGACGAAAATGCAGAGCTGCTTCCACAGACTCCATTAGCTTGGGGGATGCGTGCGCGTGCACAAATGGAAAGTGGAAAGTGTCCAGTGGTGGGAATATTCACATCTGCACCTGCTGAATAATAGACGATTATCATCTCAGGTGGCTCATCCACCCCATTCACATGCTCTCTCCCATTTCATGGCGTTAATTTTGTCTGGAATACCCAATAGGCTTGCAGAATGCATATTTCTTGTCTCTTAGACCTGATCTTGTCTTGTATTCTGTCTGAAGAGGGAACATATTCTTCAATATGAGTGCTGGCTTCAGGGAGCGTGACTGCACTATAGACTCTAAAGAGCCTCAGGTCTTGGCAGGTACTCCTTACATTTCAACAGAGAGACACCCACGGCAAATTTGGTGGCAGCAAGGCCATATATCATCTGTCATCGCCAGGAGCCTCCACAGTAATGAACAAGTAATAGTGGTATATATCGTGAACTTGAGTCTCTAAAGGTAGCTCATCCAGAGTCATTACGGTGCCACATAACCAGATGAGCTTTCTCAAATGAGACTGTTTTTGTCACCCTGAGGACTGGAGGGTGTAACTGTTCTCAGAGTGAATAACTCATCCTGATTTTGGTGCTAATGGGACTCCGTATTAAGGTGTTGTGTGTGAATGCGAGAGGAATGGTAAATCCCATTTTCTTGTAATTCAAAGCTCAAGCTGTTTCCACACATCTGTTTCTCCGGTAGAAAGGAAGATTCATTTGGAGAGAAAAACAACAACAACATGCACGGGATAAAAAAGCAGCATTAAATGAAGATTCATGCCTCACAGGATTATGACGAAGTGCTAGGCGACGGAGTGTTATGGGGAAGTATGTCATGATGACATCTCTCTGTCACAGGAACGAGCTCATTCGCTCTGTCCATTCACCCACCTACCCATCTAGCTTCTCTCCCTCCATCCATCAATCCATCTCAGCTTTTTTTTCCAGGTATGGCAATGCTACAGTTAACCCATAATGATTGATATGCATATGAAGCCATGGGTTTCCTGCATATTTGACAGCATGTGTTCTGAGCCTCATGTTGCCACTCTGGGGATGTGTTTGCACAGGGATGGGAGATGCTCTGACGGTTACAGCTGAGGAGTCATTTTTCATGTAAATAGAGGATGGCAGGATATAGCGATCCTGCTGTTTGTGGAATTAGCCGCGCGGCACACATATACACAAGAGCAGCACAAACTGAGGGCTGTATAAAGACTTTGTGATAAAGTGTCAGCCAGAGGCCAGTTTCTACACACAGTTACCAAGATGTGAAGGTGTTAACATTTAATGCAAACTGTCCGGAGAGACATGCTGCACAAGCAGCTGCCTGAATAGGCAATGCACCCCAACAGCCCCCCAAGAGTCCGACACCTCCAGAGTCCAATTCAGCAAACACATGATTCAACCTGTCATTCATAAGTGCTGATGTAGCCGTGCTCAGAGCAGAGCCACCGAGTCCCCAGAGTTGGATATGGCTGCTAACTGTCATCCAAGTACTTTGATTACTGGGCTGGGAGAAGAATGATGACTATGGCCACTTTAAGTCCTGGTCAGACTCTATGATTCTGTCGAGGAAAGTGGATCACGTCCAAGGTCCCATTTACACCCCTAACATTTATTTAACGTGTTCACGGCGCATGAATGTAGACCTCTCCTGTTGCAAAAACTCTGTTAATCACTTGAGTGACACCACCTTAGAAAACGATTGGCGCCATGAAAACAAATATGAATTACTATGTTTATTTCGCTCCTTATTTGACAAAATTACAATTATATTTCTAAGTTGTTTTACAATGATTAGAGAAGGTTGCACTTTATTCAACCTACCTATTCACCATTTATAAGCAGTTTTATCATATCTAATACATTCATTATAACAGCTGTTATTAGGTCTTTTTGAGTGTTTATTGATAAAGTTGTCAACAACTTGAACATCCATAACTGCATGCTACAACAGATAATGTCTGACAGTATAATACAACCCAGCTTTAATTATATAAAACATGTCTTCATATGAGACGTTATGATAGTTGAAAGTACTGTACATTAATACTATAAATGTCATAGTTATATTTGCTTATAATTCTACAATTACAGTGTTTATATAATACAATAAAAAAATGTTAGCTAGATAGCTACAGATAGATACAATAACTAAAACAGAGTAAATATAAAATTAAATTAAAGAAAAGTGTTATAGAGTATAATACTTAGACCTAAAAATTAGCAGTACGGTTGGCACAGCAGCCAAGTGTACACGCTGTACTGTACATGCTGTACATGCTGTACACGTCTATTAAATGTTTATCTGTGCAGCATGAGGGATCCCTCGTCTGTTGCTCTTTCTGAAGTTTATCAGAGTTGTTTTGTTTTATCTGAATTGATCCTGTAAGGGTAGAAGGTGTCACATGATTATAAAACAAGACGGAAACAAACTTTTGATTTGGAGCGAAAAAAAAACTTGACTTCACTAAGTGTTTAGCGCCTGTTGCCTCACAGCAGGAAAGACCTGAGTTCAAACCAGGCTAGCTACGGGCATTACAATGTACAGTTTGCATGTTCTCCTGTGTCTACATCTATGCTGGGGTAAATATTGACATATCTTACAAAATGTATTAAAAAAATGGCATACTATGGGTTCAACATTGCTCAACACACCATATACTGTTGTAAATCAGCCCTGAACCTTGCAAGACCAATGCGGAGATGGAGTCGACCATTTGGGACCAGTCTACGTCATAAAATTTGTTCTGAATTGTAGTGGAATATAAGTATAAAGTAGCATGAAGTAGAGTCTGTATGACTCTATGCCTCTCAACAGATGCATGATGGGATATCTCCACCGCCCCGTGGCTGTGGCCTGATCAGGCAGACATACGGTAGATAGTAATCACACGACTCAAGAAACAATACAGAAAAAATTATAATATTCTATAATATTCATTGTTCTAATTTGACATTTTAAAAGGAAGTGGAACAAATAGCATTCCGTGAATGCTACGCAGATACTTAGAGAACTTTTTTAGAGAAAAGCGTGAAGAACTTTTTGCCTCATCGTGTGAGTTGCTTCGGGGAAAGACAAATTCAAAAATGCAAATGCTCTACAGTGTAGTTTTTACATGAAGAGAGATTCTCCCCTCGGGGCCACATGAATGAGATTTTGAATAGCAGTAGAGTTTTCTAGGAACACTCTGGAATGTTCTATAACCTTTCGCACTTGAGATTAAACCAGCTCATGTCTGTGCATAGGGTTCCACTAATACCTTTAAGAACGGCTTCTTCTTTGAGAGATGATTCAGCGTTTTAATGGCTGTCGGCTTGGTGGCATAATCAAGAGATCATGCACAAAGGTTCAGTGGCTGTCACGGAAAGAAAAAAGTATGACGAGATTATGGTCGCCCCGCAATGGTATGTCAAATATCTGAATTATTTTAAGTGCGAAATGCAATGCACATAGAGAAGATAGCAGGTGTAGTTAACAGAATAATGTGTACCACGTGAGCACCAATGTATTTCTGTGTGTTACGCTATGTGATCACGGCAGTAACGTCACCTGATTGAGCTCACACCGCATCCTATCCGCAGCGCTGCCCTGCAGTAGTGGGAGGGGAGCAGGGTGCTATCTGTGGACATGCAAAGTGACAGGACCAGCTGGGGTATGAACTCCAGTAAGACAGGCAGTTGGTCTAGGAGAGTCAGCCCACGAGCCCCCATAGCGCTCAATTACAGCAGCCTGCAACTCAACTCGGTGAGAAAAACTCAGTGTAACTGCCAAACATCAGCACTTCTACGACAACCTGTAGAACTGATCATGATCTGCGTGGCTGTTTCAAGAACTTTGGAGATCAATCAGCAGCTATCACCCTTAGTGATCCTCTTATTGTTGGTGATCACCTAATCGCATGCTGACATCTTGTTATAGGCGACAGAATCAACAGCACTGCGGGGACGATGGGTGGGAAGCAATCTCGCAGTTTCTCCAACAAGGAGCTGAACGAGGTGAGTGTTAATCGAGGCAGGAAGTGTGCTGGGAAAGACGACCAGCCCAGCCTGTCCTCGGCCGCCGAGAGGATCCGTAGACACACCACGGTGCACTTTGGCTACAGCACCCTGAGCCTGGCCATGCGGGCCCTCGATGAAATCCCCTCTGAGCTGTGGGAGCTCCGGGAACTACAAAAGCTAAACTTATCCATGAACTGCCTCTGCTCTCTGCCCCCGGCCCTGGGCGCTCTGGAAAATCTGGTGATCCTCAACTTGTGGGGTAACAACCTGTCCAGCCTCCCGGCCGAGATCAGCCTCCTGAAGAAGCTACGCGTGCTTTTCGCCTGTCGCAACCGCCTGAGCGAGGTCCCAGAGGAGCTGGGCTCCTGCACCTGCCTGGAGGTGCTCAGTCTGGCCAATAACCAGATCACGGGCCTCCCCGGCAGCCTGGCAGCCATGCAGAACCTGACCAAACTCAATCTCAGCCACAACCGCATCGCACACATCCCCACCTGCGTCTACAGCATGAAGGGCCTCGTCTTTCTCCATCTGGCTTGCAACCGCCTGGAGACCATTGCGGACCAGATCCAGGACTTGGTGAACCTGAAGATCCTCATCGTGGAGGGAAACAGTATCCACACACTGCCTAAGACGCTGTGCTTCCTGGAGTCTTTAGAACTTCTCAATGTTGACTTCAATGACCTGCAAAATGTGCCGATGGAAATGTACCTGCTGAGCAGGCTCGGGAGGTTGGCCTGCCACCCACTGGATAAAGGACTTCATATTATCCACAACCCCCTCCTCAAGCCTATCCAGGAGGTGCTACAAGGGGGACTCAGTGCCCTCTATAACTACCTCAAGCCCACGTGAGGGACTACCACTGTGTGTGCATTTGTGTGTGAGTGTGTGTGCGTGTGTGTGTGCGTGTGTGTGTGGGTGTGAATCTAAAAGAGTCATAATGGGATGTTGGCACCAGTCGGCACGCGGTGGTCATGCTGTGAGCCATAGCTGTTGCCACAAATGGCCTAATTGTATTAAGATATTATCACTCAACACAAATGACCAGTATTCAGTATTTATATTATTATCTCCTGTTTTTTTTATGTCATGTAAAAGCTGGGTTAAAAATAAACAACGAGTAACTGCTGTGTCGTGTGCAAACATTTGTTAATCCACAGCAAAGGGTTCAGAGCAAGTCGCTTGGCTCACGCAGAAATTCACAGGTCTACATTTGGGGGCCGATTACTGGTCAGTTGATCTTGTTTGGCCTGTGGCAGAGAGGGGCCATGGGGGTTACTTCAGCTACATATCACCAGCCTCTTTGTTGGATTCAGGACATGGGGATCAGGTGCGTAAAGTCAGTGGAAATAATGATGGAGGGGGGGGGGCTTAAGATCTGCAAAATAATAAAACAAACCACAACAGGGACTTAAACTCTGATTAAATGTTGTTCCACTCCATCAGATCAGAGCAGGGCTGCTGGGTGGCAGATCCTCTGAGGTTGTCGGGTGTTGTCACACAAACCATTTCAAGCAATGGAAAAAAAAACTTGATTGAAAATTGCTTCACGAAAAAGATGTGGACTACTGTGGAACAAATTATTCAATTCAATTAAAATGATTTTAAGCAAATGTATATGTAATTAAAGCTCAAGAAGCTTCTAAGTGGACATTTGATTTTAGATTATTTTGTTACAAATTTGGATCAGCAATTACAATAGCACGCCAAATATACGTCAAGCAAAAATAAGCACAATAATGAATTAATATAGTCATCATGCAAAAATGTTCAAATATGTAACATGTTATTAGTATTTTATAAAGTGTAAATATTGGCTAGATCAATTGCATGCCTGTCCAGCAAGGACATAGGTAATGGAAATAAACGTGTAAAAAGAGCTGCTGTAAACTATACGGAGTTTGTGTCAACTTGGCTGCCCAGATATTAATGGGGTTTAGATGTCACAACATTTAAGACAAGTGAAGATTGAAGGTGCTATATAAAAGTGACCTCTGTTGGTATGTACCTGTTACTACTTTAGTCAAAGTGAATGCTAGGCTATCCACTCTGCCTCGCTCGCGCTCTCTCTCTCACACACACACACACACACACACACACACACACATACACACACAACCCACGCAATCATGATGGATGAACCCCTCCTGAATAAGTCTTTGTCCTAGATAGTGATCATGGGACATGTTGTCAAATAAAGCTCCTATAAAGATATTGCATCAATGTGAGTCAGATGACCTGAATTCAGGTGCTCTGTGGTTGTGTTACTATTTTAGTGATAATACAAAATACAATGACTTTGGCGTCTTGTGCAACTAGTTCAGCATTAACTGAACATATACATGTGTATATATATATATACTGTATAGTGGTAGACAGAAACATTCCATCAGTAACTAACAGTCTAAAACAATTATTCTGATGTCATAATCGAAAGGTCGGGGGTCTTTTGAAATGCAAACATTGACCTGTGTACAGTCAAAGAAAACACACTTCTATGACAATTAATTAACATGAATCTTTGCAGTCTGGCGATGCACCTCATTCCACTCAACGTTTCTCACTCACTATAGTGGTCAGCTGTACACCGGGGATCACCCATGACTGCACTTAGCAGGCTTTGTAGGATTTGCTGATCCCATTTAATTGCTGCGTGCTCCGATAACTGTGCTTTATAATGAGACACTGAGCAAAATATAACAACTGGGTGAGCACAGATTGACACCCGTGTTCTTCATTCAAAGGTATTTTGCATTAATAAGCCAAAGCTTGGAAAACAGTTTAGCATCACCAGCAGCCAGTGACTATGAAGGACAGCTAATCAATCTCATATTGAACTTTTGACAATCAAGGCATGGGATAATCAGAATGGAATTAAATGTTAAAATCACTGTTGTTTGGCAGCCACATGAGGAGAAGCTCACTATGGAGAGAAGTTTCTGTGATTTATTCAGTCACACTGAGACTCCTCACATAGGGTGAGGTGATTGGCATTATTGACAAACAGCATTATACTGCCACTTCTGTCAATTACTACAACATATTATTTAGCTCATCATTCTTGTGTTTAACTAATTCAAACTGTCCCTGCAGGGAGAAATATGAGTGAGAATAGATTTGATGAAGGCTGACAGGTTCTTCCTTGGCTGGCGGCGGCTCTCCACAATGAAATGTCAATATCACCTATTCAATAGCACAGTATGTTGTTCAGAAATCAGCAACAGTGAGTCACTGAAATGGTAGGCCGCTGTTATAACCTTTGAGGATATGGAATCTTTTGATCCTGGTCTGGTATCAATTTTGGAGCCACTTCCTTCCTGTTCAATCACTGTAATGTCATCGTCTTTCTGTATCTTGCTTTGAGAGCGCGATGAAAGTAGCCTAAGCTTGTGAAAGGTTACTGGGTAAAAATAAAAGTACATGATGGCTTGTTTTTGTTATCACAGATGAAGGCGTTCATTGATTCTAATACAGGGGTTCTTAACTCATTTACTTTGACAAAATGGAAATAATGATTTGATTGAAAAAGTAAGCGAAAATAATGGATAAATGGTGGAAAAGGTTACCGAAAATAATGCTGGAAAATTGTCAAAACTGTTAACTAAAAGCAAAATGGTGAAAAAGCTAAGCACAGGATAAATGTTTGAACTAGATCAAAGTCGTGGCAAATTACCAAGTTCGGCTTCTCCAAGTTGTACAAATGAAAACCTATGTAAATCTGACAAAAACGGATTTCTGAAAGAAATTGCTAACGATATCCACTTCTATGTAAAATCCAGTCTAAAATCAATACAAAAGAACACATTTGGAACACAAGGGCTGGTGTTGAAGAGGTAAGATATAGGCCAATTTGTTAAACATGATTTAGGACTGTGTTTATGAAGAACCTAAAACACAGCCCTCAATCACACACTCACAAACACTCTCTGTCTCTCTCTCTTTGTCTCTCTCTCTCTGTCTCTCTCTGTCTCTCTCTCTCTCACTCTCTCACTCTCTCTCTCTCTCTTGGCGAGTGCAAACAATGATGCTATCCATTCATTCCTCCATCCAATCGGAGGAGTTTACATTCTCATCAATTCCCATGACAGCTCGGCTCAGACTGGTATTCATGCATTCCTGGCAACATAACTGCTTCAGCTGAGACAATACCTAAAAACCACAAAAACAAAAACATGTGGCGCTTCTATGAAATGCTTCAGCCATTGTTTCGAGAACTTATGGAGAAAAACAACAACCGGAGCCATATATCCTTGACAACACAAGGTCATTTTCAGGCTAAATGTAGACCCATGTCAATTTGGCTGCATTTTAATTAGCAATGAAAAGTGCTGGTACAAGTGAAATCACCATGTGTGTTTATGCATGCAAAAAACAATAAGGGAATGACATTGGTTGACTTTGTCATTAGTTGCTTCTCCATCCCTCTGTTTGACATTGCTCTGAGAAAACCCTCCAGTTGTTTGCACTTGCCGTCTCAGATAAGACTAATTTTGAACAAATATTTGCATATATTAAAGTAAGGCATCATTATTGATTCATTAAAGCTGAAATAAATGTGTGTGTGTGTGGCGATGTGGCTCTGTTATGACATGTCAACCACTGAGCTCCTCTTGAAGGTTGGCCTGTGTTTCCCTTTAATGGGATCAATGCATGAATTTAAATCAGAAAGGTCACACAAGGTGAACTGCGATTAAGAATCCAGCTGGAAAATATTTTAAGGAAATATTGCCTTAATAAACTAACGTGTCAAGTTGAGCATTAAAAGGGCTTCATTTTCTTCATATCACATGATCTTCATCAGCAGATTGGGATTCATTCATTCATTAATTGACATTCAAAATGATGGCTTTCTGATAATAACCCATTCATATTTGTACCTAAATGATAACCAGTGTTTTTTTAAATTCAGTCTGTCTTCATTATGAACTTGATTCTGAACTGAGAATATTCTGAAGAATTCTGCTACAGAAAATGACGCATTACTTCTGTTTGGGGTCTCAGACACCGCAGCTTTAAATCATGGTTAAATTCAAAGGATATTATGATCTATATCTGTGATTGGTGTTCACAATGCATTTTTATACAGAACTGCTCCCAAAAGCCGAAATAAGTCAATTTGGTTTTTCTGTTATTGGAGTTCTATACGAGTTAACTCATAAGACTAAGGTCTAAGTGACCTCAAACATAGATGACATCACTATGTAAGATAATATCCTGTAGCAACATTTCTTTGTCTTTGAACTACTTTCTGGCAAACAAAAGACACTTATATTTGCTCATGCATATCTCACATAAGACACAAAGCATGACATATTTACTTATTTGGTGAGATAGACTATTAATTTCTCTATTTTGTCCCCTGCAGCAAATGTCCAGTTTGTGGTAAAGGGAAAGGAAAGGGTTACCCATGTTAATACCTTTCTACATATTGTGCTTCATTAGAAAATAATCATATAAGAATTCTTCCATTTTTGTTTATGTTAGATATTACTTTATGATAATCTAAAGCTGTTATTATTAATGTTGTATCACCATATTAAATTAATGATGGCTGACTTGGTAAACAGCCCACAGGTTCTTTACATGGCCCGGGTTAAATGCACTACTTCACCTCGAACCAACTTCTCCCACAAGCTGGTCCAAATAAACGCCAATAGAGTGCCAGGAGGAGGAGGAGGGCACAACTCCGCCTGTCTGCTCTACTCACAGGCGGGGGCTCACGCGCGCCCTCTACCGGGGACACTGCGCGCGCACAGCCGCTGCTCTCCTGGAGCTGCCGGACCTCTCAATCCACGCGTAATTCCGGAATCAAGACTCACTCACACATTCCTCCTCCAAGTGTGGAGCAAGCC